AATGTGGTTAGTGTGGTTAAGAATGCCCTTTCAGCCGGGCTCGGCGGCTCAGCTGTAATCCCGCACCTTGGGAGGCCAAGGTGAGTGGACTGCCTGAGCCCGCGGGTTCAAGACCCGCCTGGGCAACTTAGCGAGACTTCGTCTCTACAATAAATCAAGAAAAATTAGCCAGACATGGTAGTGCATGCCTGTAGTTCCAGCTACTTGGAAGACTGAGGCAGAAGGATCGCTGGAGCCCAGCAGGTCGAGGTTGAGGTGACCTGGAGCAGCCACTGCACTCCAGTCTGGGCAATAGAGTGAGACTCCAACTCAAAACAAAAAAAAGAATACCCTTTCAACTCAGAGTATACTGCTAAAAGGGACTTTTTTGCTGCTTAAACACAGGTGCATTAGCTTAATTAAGTGTCCTGACTTGACTTTAGCTTATTATACTATCATTAACATAACATTAGCATGGAGGTTTTACCAACACCCCCCCCTCCAGTGGGCTTTTCTATGGTACTTATGGGTAATATTCAAGATGGAGTAACTTTGGTCTAGAGCCCGCATGCGCAATAAAAGTTGGGTCTCAGAAAGTAAGGGGCCGGTGAGATATAAGATATAAATAAGAGACACACCTCCCCAAAAAGATAAAACACACACACACACACACACACACACACACACACACACACACACACACACCCCCTTCCTAACACCAGGCAACCCATTTCGGGCCCCCTCTTCTAGAGAGAACTTTGTTACTTAATAAACTTCTTTCACTCATTCTTTTGATGTCCCCGTTCCTTAATCTTCTTGGTTGTGGGACAAAAACCCAAGGTTGCTGGTTTAAGCTGACAGTGGAGTTCAAAACTTCTACAACAATTATACTGTGGCAGCTATGATCTAATTAATAAAACATTGAGTTTGGAACTAAAACACCTAGATTTAAACTTCATTGATTTAATGTTTCCTCTAAGCCCCACTTTTCACATCTGAAAACAATATCTGCCTCATTAGGTTATTAAAACAATTACCTGAGATAATGTATGTAATGTGTCTTACAATACCTGGTAAATACAGTGTATTATAATAATGGTAGCTATTATTGTTATTATTAAGCTATGAGGACAACGTAGACTTCTTGAGACGCAAGTAAGAATATATATATAATATAATATTAAAACAATAAAGCACCATCATCAAGAGACAGTTGGTATAAGTATAATTATTACCTTTATTTAGCCCAGCGTAATGCCTCATGCCTGTAATCCCAACACTTTGAGAGGCTAGGGTGAGAGAATTGCTTGAGCTCAGGAGTTCGAGACCAGCCTGGGCAACATAACAAGACTTTGTCTACAAAAAATAAAGAAAACTGGCCAGGCACAGTGGCTCAGCCTGTAATCCCAGCACTTTGGGAGGCCGAGGCAAGAGGATTGCCTAACCCCAGGGGTTCAAGACCAGCCTGGGCAACCTGGTAAGACCTTGTCTCTACAGAAAAAGCACACAAAATTAGCCAGGCATGGTGGTGTGTGTCTGTAGTTCCAGCTACCTGGAAGGCTGAGGTGGAAGGATCTCCTGAGCCCAGCAGGTCAAGGTTGTGGGGGCCGTGAGTGTGCCACTGCACTCCAGCCTGGGTAACAGAGTGAGACTCCAACTCAAAAAATAAATAAGTAAATAAAATTAAATCAAATTTTTTTTGAGAAATTAGATCTTACTAGGATCTAAGAAAAAGTCTGGTTGGAGTGAGACTCCAACTCAAAACTAAACAAATAAATAATAAAAAATTTAAAGATTAGCCAGGTGTGGTATCAAATGCCAGTAGTCCCAGTTACGTGGGAGGCTGAGGCAGAAGGATCGCCTGAGCCCAGGAGGTCGAGACTGCAGTGAGCCATGATCGTGCCCGGGTGTGGTAGCGTGCACCTGTAGTTCCAGCTACTTGGAAGGCTGAGGCGGAAGGATCACCAGAGCCCAGTAGATTGAGGCTGCAGTGGCCGGGAGCGGCCGGGAGTGGCCACTGCACTCCAGTCTGGGTGACAGAGTGAGACTCTAAAAAAAAAAAAAAAAAATCAGCCAAGCCCTGTGACTCACACCTGTAATCCCAACATTGTGGGAGATGGAGGCGAGATGATTGCCTGAGCCCACGGGTTCAAGACCAGCCTGAGCAGCATGGAGAGACATCATCTGTACAATAAATCAAAAAATCACCCAGGCATGGTGCCACATGTCTGTGGTTCCAGCTACTTGGAAGGCTAAGGCGGAAGAATTGCCTGAGCCCAGTATGTCAAAGCTGCGGTGGCCGTGAGTATGCCATTCATTGCACTCCAGCCTGGGTGAGAGTGGATTTCAACTCAAAAAAAAATTATTATCCATATCAATCTTTCTCTTTGTATGATTCAGAATAAGCTTATGAATTTGGGGGTTAGCTTTATGATCATCAAAGATTAAATTTTTGGTTGTGAAGTAATATTAGTAGAGAACTCTAGCTAAAATAATGAAAGAAAAGGTAGTGTTCATAGAATAAAGTTCACCCTGAGTTATTCTTTTTCTCTTTTTCTTTCTTTCTTTTTTTTTTTTTAAGTGACTGTATATTGCTCTGTTACCCAGGCTGGAGTGCAGTAACACATAGCTCACTACAGTCTCGATTCCCTGGGCTCAAGCAATCCTCCTGCCTCAGCCTATGGGATTACTGCACCTGGCCTAAATTATTCAGAAATTGATATTCAGGGCTTTCACTTCTTCCTGTCCCAACTTTTGGGAATGGTTTTTCTCAGAAGCTTTACCTCAAAAACAAGTTGAAGATAAGAAGAAAAAAGATGTTATCAAGTCTGTCAGATCAATAAGAGAGAAACTGTTTTTGATACCCAAAATAGTGAATATAGGCCAGTCGCAGTGGCTCAAGCCTGTAATCCCAGCACTCCAAAAAAATTCAGATTAACTATCCAGGCATGGTGGTGAATGCCTGTAGTCCCAACTACTCATGAGGCCAAGGAGGGAGGATTGCTTGAGCCTAGAAGTTCAAGACTGCAGTAAGCTGTGATCGTGCCACTGCACTTCAGTATGGGTTACAGAGCAAGAACCCAACTCAAAAAAATAAAAATAAAATAGTGAATTACTACCCTTTTCCTGTATACTGTAATGAAGAAAACTGAAGAAAATCTACAAGTTTGAGAATCTGATCTAGGTTCTGGTGACTCATGCCTGTAATCCCAGCACTCTGATTTCTTAAGGGCTGGAGTTTGAGACAGTCTGGGCAACATAGTAAGGCCTGGACTCAAAAAAAAAGGGCCGGGCTCGGTGGCTCAACCTGTAATCCCAGCACTTTGGGAGGCCGAGGTGAGTGGATTGCCTGAGCCCGCGGGTTCGAGACCCGCCTAGG